TTCAATGAGGGTCGCTCCAAACCTCCTCGCCTAAGGATGCCATGGACAAAATGTTATGCTGTCATGTTATTATGAACATAATACACTTTTGAGCGTCAAAATCAGTTTTTCAAGAATTATTTAAATAACATTCTGGAAGAATATCCAGTGTAAACTCAATATTTTTTTCTAAAGGAATTCAATGTAACAAGAAAAGAATACTTTGAAAGTAGGTCATAAAAAGTAAGTGCTTGTTGCCTAACGTCATACAACAATAAAACACATGTTTGTTATTTGCGCCAACCATTTAGTAACTAGGGACATTATCAAAATGTATTCAGACTTTATGCAACACTATATGCACATATTTACACACATATACCTTGAACATAACGATTTATTTGCTAAAAGCAACCAGTTATAACCTGTAACATCTTCCCGAGGCAAGGGAGGTATCTGACTATAAAAGTCCATGCCGAACTAGGAGTTACATTATGGCTGAGCCGACGGGTCTGTGCATAGTAAAATAAAAAACGTGTAACGAAATCGACATCCGGTTCGTAAACTCCCGTGCAGATTTCGGTCGATTGCAGGATTTGCAAAACATGTGTACCGCCTACTCGACATATTTGAGATATTTTACAAAACTTTTCATGTTTTTAATCAAGGTGCTCACGTGACTTGATGCGCTTCGCGAAGTAAGACCCGTTTTCTCACAATATAGATTTTGATGGGAGGGACATAGAAGAGACATAACTCATAATAGACACTGGTGGCGCAACGATCGAGACCAGAAATTCCCGCCTAGTTCTTCAAGGGTGGAAACAGGACTTTTAAAGTCAGTCAACTCCCTTACCTCGGGAAGATGAACCTAGAGTAACAAAGAATGCTTCTACAATATATGTACAATACATAGTCTTCTCTGCCACTCAAGTGTTGCTGTGAGAGAATAGTGTGATACGCCGCTTTCAGCAATATTCCAGCAATATGGCGAGGGACAACCGGGTCGTCAGTGTGACGAGACAACGTTTCAAACCCTAGGCTAACCCAGTGTCCCATCGTCAAGGTGAACACTTTCACTAATCATGCCGTAATATAAAGCAATATACACTTCTTTGCTCTCTGGGAAGGTAACGTCTGATATATCAGTAAATTCGACTTTCGATCTTACTTTCTTCGAATGATTCCTGTGCGTCTTGTGTGCTAACAAAGCACACGGATGGATATCGGATCTCGACCTGCGACGGGTTTCTGTCATCTTGAAGACTTCAGAATTCCGACGGATGGTTTACAAAGAGTAAACCGTCGTTACCTAGGTGTTGCGTATTGTTGGCAATAGTTTCCAGTCGATACCTGTCTTGCAATCGAAGATCTTGGACTGACGTTCGAGGCGAGGTGGTTCTTTTCTTTTTCATGTATTGTACTAGACTTTCTCATGTTCAGACTAATGCTGCTGCCGGAGAGACTATGTTGGCACTGCTAAGTGCGTGAACACTGAGCCTGCAAATTATGTTTAATCTATCACCCCATGGGTCATTTTCAACGTAACAGAATGTGTCATCAACACGTTTGTGTACGCACGTGTAACACCGCCAGGTTGCCGAGGTGATGGTATCACAGCAACAGGACGAATATTTTGCAATAAAGGGACCGACCATGTGATATTCTGGACGACCATATTTCATCTATCAAAATCAAACAATTTCGAATTCCCCCATTTGCAATGAGTCTTTACACTAAAGTGTCGTTCGGAGGAAACTCACTCAAAAGCTGTGCCAACTATTGGGGTTATTTTCGCAATTGCGATTGTATTGCAATAGTAGCCCACACTATGGCAATAGTATTGTGATAGTTGAAAACCAGCTCTAAGGCTTGATAATTATTATAATCAATGTAACAGAAATGAATACAGTACAATCTCATTTTGTTCCCTGTCACTTCTCAAACCAAAGACAAGTGACTCTAACCTGAAAGCAGGTTTGAAATTCGCTTAATACATGTACAATCTCAATAAAATCTGATCTTAGTTCTTGCTACCGCTAAGCAAAGATCTGAGGACATCCCATTACCGGTCAAGCCAGAACGGCCTTCATCCGACCAATCAAAGTGTCGCTTACCGGATCATGAAAGTAACAGTCGGAATGTTATTTCTAATCATGCGGCCTCTAAAACGTCAACATGGGCTATTCCAAACGACAGGTACGATTGATTCCGTCAAAATCATCTCTATCTCTCTCTTCCATGGGATAAACATTTGGACTGAAGAGGCGCCGCACAGTACGTGGGAAGCACTGCCATACAATCTCAACCCTATATTAGACATGTTCGTTTGTTCAGTTTTCAAAATTAATAACGAGAACTGTGTCAGCATATTTTTCAAACATAGTCTAAAATGGAAGTCGCCAGTTTGAAACTATTGCCGAGAAAGCTCTTTTCCGATTAGATTAGCCAATGTCGACTTCTTGTTATATTAGTCCTTTCAGTTCACGAAAGGTCGTTCTGACGTAACACGTAATGGGATGTCCTCAGAACATACATCTGATTTTAATGAGATTGAAAATATGTATTATTAGCAATTAATTGTAACTATTGAAACTATCGATTGTTATGCATACCATCGAATATACCATGGTCATGTTTAAATTCCTATTGGTATAGTACTATCCATGAAGATCCGGGTACAGCATAGGTCTTCAAAAACCCATGCTTGCCGTTAGAGGCGACTATGGTTATCTTAAGAGGCGACTAATGCGATCATGTGGTCAGGCTCCCTGACTTGGCTGTTGCTTGTGATCGTATATCCCAATTGCGTGGATCGATGGTCATGATATCAATCACTGGATTATCTGGACCAGACTCAATTATTTACAGACCGCCGTCATATAGCTGGAATATTGCCGAGTGAGGGTTAAACAACAACAACAACAACAAAACTGTCATAGGGCAAACAACTGCGATAGCTCTACATACACAGTAAGGTTGATTTGTCAGTGAAAGTGGTCAGTGCACAGCAAGGTGGATCTCCATGTGCTACCAACTACCTTAATACATCGCTGAAGTAGTAACGACACTCTTACGAACCAACGCATCAACATAATATATATGTTAAATTTTGTCCATATGGAAATCTTCCTTTTTTCTATGAACGAAAATTCAGGGTAAATCCGCTAGAAACATAGGGTAAATCAATGGTATTGAAATACGTATCATATGTGCACAGCATTTATGATTATTGCACATGCTGGAAAATACATGAAAACAATGACAATATTTACACACCCATGTAATATTTGTTCACAGTGTTGATAGATATTATTATACGAGCATGTGTGTCATACTTATTTTACGAAACGAGTGTCAGAATGCTTGTCTTTCACGAGCGAGAGCGAGGGTAATACATGCAGTCTTACACGAGTTTCGTAAAATCAGTGTGGCACACATGTGAGTGTAATAATTTCTTTATTACCAATTATTTCTTAATCCTTTTGAGCTCCCCTTTGGAACAATGCACTGATCATCACCGATGTCCTAGAAAACCACAATATGTCCAATGACGTCAACAATCTTCAGCTGTGACGTCATTTCTAGTGTGATGTCATTCCGAACCTACGTCACAATAAGATGCGAATGACGTCAACCATGCCGTTCAGGTGACTGAAACATACGAGAAGTGATATTTGCACAAGTGCACACACAATTGTTATGAAATATTGCCGATGTGGCATAAAGCTTTAACTCACTCACTCACTCGGTTATGTCACACACTGTGGGTAATAACCCAAGATATGTGATGAGATCAAAAACAATTAAGAGCTGAGTGTTCCATAATATAAGCAACCATGAGAATGTTGTAGTAGTTTTGTGTGTTATAACAGATCGATTGGAATCTCAGAAACATTAGAAATGACCGATTGGATACCGATTGGATAGAAAACAAAGAAAAAATACAGTATAACAAAACCAGGAAGAAAGTAAGGACACAATCAGTGAGTTTGGTTGAAATTTGTATGTTGGGGATCTGCCGTATAAAAAGGTTCTTGTCATCAAAGATGCTGTTGACGTGTTTCTCAAACCATTTACCTTCAAATAAATATATCGACTGAAAATGTAATACATCTTGATTACTGACTGTGACACCCTCTTTAGACACCCTCTCTCACTGATAAAACCCTGAAGATTTATACAGTTACTGGAAACAACTGGTACAGCGAATTCTGGTGCCATCACCCGTGTCACCAAGGATTCCATAAGACTTGAGTCCTTCCTTCCAGAATGAAGAGTCGTATACCGCTTGATAACGGATGACGCGTGTAATGTAATAAATATTGTAATCAGAGGTGCTTTAGGCACATCAACTATTCTCTGCATGGAATTCGAAATACACCCCTAAGCAATGCCAGGCTCTAATGTTACTGTCCAGCGTTGATTCCTCCCCGTCATGGTCCTTGTAAGTACAAAGCGATCTTAGTGCTACGTTGATCGTAAGCCTATGGTAAAGTATGGGAGTTAAGACCAACTTAGCACTCAGGTCGCTTTGTGGAACAGGGCCAAGACCTGTGCTTTTGTGTTTCACCAAATTGTGAAGCCTCTAAGACGTGAGCCACTTTGGGTTGAGTTCAAAGCAACGTTAACTTCTGCCCACTCACTTGTATTAATTCAGATATATAACACACACTGATATTAATAAATAACGACATTAATTAAACCAAGATCACTCACTCACTCACTAAATTGTATCGTAAAAACGAAATGACAGCAATTAGTATACCAAACATATATGGGTCTGAATACTTCATAATATTTGGTTTATGCAATCAATTTCAATTGAATGGGTTTTTTTCTGTATGGGGCCAAAAACGTTCCAAATATGCGTCGTCCAATAACATTTGTCTATGAAGCCGATAATTATCGTTTACTGATAAACCCAAAGCTTTGTTGACCGAGAACCCACTGTACTATCTGGTGCACCCTGGTTTGTGAGGAAGTATGTCAACTGAGATTAGATATCCTTTTTATCGGATGCATTTCCAGGAAAGGTGAACACGTGAAAACGCCTCTGTCATTAGAGAGTTGGACAATTCAAGATCGCTCCTCAACTTAGCAAGCTAGAAAGGTAATTATATTGTCATCAAAGAATGCTGTCATGATATGTCAGCCCCGTGAGGCCTGTGGGCAAGAATAGGTCCCCAGCACCTAATGTCCGATATGCCAAGTGCAGGCTCAATGACTTGGCTAGTTGCCTGACATCTTGTCCCAATGACGTGGGTTGTACACTACTGCCTAAAAGTTCATTCCCCTAACACGCGTTGAGAACGCGTGTAACACGCATGTGACACGGGTGCTCAACGGGTTGCACACGCGATTCACACCCGTTGCACACCCGTGTCCAACGGGTGTGAATCGCGTGTGCAACCCGTTGCACACGCGTGTGCCACGCGTGTAACACGGGACCGGGTTCCAGTTGAAGTTGACAAATTTATCAAATGAATAGTGAAATAAAACAAAACAGTGAGATGTGAAATTTGAGTTAATGAGCGGCCATTGAGCTGTGTTCACCAGACCGTAAATACAAGGTCGGCCCATCTTAATTAGTGTTCGGTTGCTAGACTTTTATGGCATGAACCATTCCACTAGGGTCCAGTCTAGCCATTGTGGCTAGCCGACAGTAGAACAGTAGTGAATTTAGATGCGAGTTTATTGCTAAGAAACCCCCGTGTTGACACGATTGTCGCGGGTTGGTAAATGTTCGCCATTAATAAAATAATTGTTTGTGGATTGCGAACATATTCATTTGCCCACACGAGTCATTCCATTTGATTGCAAATATAACGTTTTTCGTTCGCCAAATTTATGCTTTAGACAGTTCAATTATGACATAGCCGTCACCACTACTAATGTCTTATTATTTCACGTAGGAATATGTCCCATTTCCCCACACCTAACTTTCTGTGTTGTATTTTGAAAAATAAATAAAAGAAGGTTTTGTGTGGGACACTTTTATGCTAATTATAAGAGGATGTTGTAAATGAATATGAACAGCCATGCTGTCTGACAGTTGATAAAATTTGAGATCTTCACAATCACCGGGTGTGACCATGTAGACAGAATCTCGTTAGGGTTTGTGATTTTTACATTTGCCCAATTACCATAGTGAGTATTGCTGGGGATACCAAACGTAACAGTTTATTATTAGAGGTTGTGAGTACCTATACCACGTAGATAGGATATCTTTAGGATTTTAATCCTTCTTTGAGAGGCATTTAGAAGTTGGAGTACTACGTTAGGATAAGATTTATGGGTGACTTTAATCCTTTCTTTCTCTGTGGGTAATCCTTTCACGTTCATTTGAGGAAGTCACTCAACCAGGTCATGACAGGTCGTGAGTTTACTTACTAACTACTGTGAGCGTTTTTGGCATGACATCTTTTCTTGTATAAACATAGAAACGATGCTCACTCACTCACTGTTAATCTTCTGCAGTTTGCTGGCAAAGTGGGGATAAACCTCAGTGTCAAAGACGATCAAACTTAGTTCGAATCCTTGTTTATATGTGACATCTCCCAAATGGGGACATTTTCATAAACTTGGCAAGTGATGATGAATTTTAATATTAATATTATTATAGTTTATGAAATTGTTAATAAAACTTTAATAAAATTGTGCTTCACTCTCACGAAAAATATATTGCCTGTGAGTAAATTTATTTGTCACGTTACATCGGCATTTTTCAGTGATATTGGGACTACATGAAACATGGCTGGTTTTACATTTCTGATACAGGTGCTTGACTGACTGAGTGGTTCATGATCAATAAGATATGTTTAAATCAGTCAAGTTTGCAACAATAGATGAATAAGTTGATACATTTGGACCGCAGTTACCGATTAACAACTTAAGACATAGAGACAGGGAGGAGATATATAACCAAACCTATGGTCCTGTTGAGACAGTTGACAGTTAGAACGTTTGATTAAACGACAGTAACTAATTTGAACATTCCCCAGTTATATCATAAAATACATCATAACCCATAACAGTCCGAGAGACAGCTTCCAGACATATACTAGTATTGAAGGGACAATCGCTTTTGACAGTTTAAAAATAAACTCACCTTAAGGTGCTTGGCAAATCAAAACTGACCTCCCTGAATATGTTTTTTAGGTTTGACAGCAACTATGCTTGTGGATTTCAGAGATAGACATGATTGGTTAGCTAGATGTTATTACAATAAGCGAAAATGTCTTAAAAGTCCACAGTTGGTTTAATAGTACAAAAAGTGTGTTATAGATCTATCAACGTTTTCTTTTATTGAACATAATATTTGCACTATATTGCTGTAAGCTGTAAATAATCTAGCCTCCCCATGTACGTAACTTACATATATTTATGTATGGCCAGAACAGCAAATAGAGTTCTGGTAGATAGGTACCTCGGAGATATAACGTGCGCTTTCCGACTTAAGCCTATCTCGCACACGGGGAAGCACTTGTACTATTAGGGTAAAAAAGGGTAATGATTAAATAAAGAAGTGCAATCTATTTTCTATATATATTTGTAGATATGAAGCATTCTAGTTAATTGTGGATGCACCGGGCAGACAGAATTGTGTTTATTTCCAGGCCATCCTGATCGTCGTTTACTACTATAAGGTGTATGGTTGGAGGCAAGATCAAAGGCGCCGCACAGCATTTATTAGATAACAGACGGGGTCGTCCGTTTCGCTTTGAACAACCACCCCACCTGTCTGTAGGAGTTATATAATCGGTGCGCAAATAATTGTGTCAAGTCCACTGCCGGGCTGATGCGGTGTCAGTGTCAGCGATGAACATGAATGCTCAAATTATAGACTTGTAGCACTCACAAGTTGCTTAGCCAAATTATTTGAAAAGTGTATATTCAATTCTCTGATAACAGGAAATATAACCTTAGGAAAAGATTCAACATACAAACAATCAAATGTAGAACACAGTCCTATGCTTATTATCATTTTTTCTGGATATGATCAACCTGCGGAACCCTCTATCCGATGAAGTAACTAATGCTCGCTCATTAAAAGAAATCAAATCCTTAATTAATCGTTCTGATGCAATTATTAATAATTTTGACTTCAAATATTTTCATAGATCATGCCAAATTGTCCACTGTCGCCTTAGGCTCAGCTGCAGTGACTTAAACGCTGATAAGTTTAGACGACATGTATCAGACATACCAGACTGCACTTGTGGATATCACCTTGAAGATGCAATTCACTTTTTCTATAACTGTTAAAAAATACGATAATATCAGAAACACTGTGTATTTCTACACACATGGGTATGGTCTAAAAATTATATTACATGGCAGTAGTTAAGCAGTTCTACAAACATGACTCTTCTTAAATCAGTTCATGACATCATTGTCAAAAGCAAAAGGTTTGAGTAGCTTAAGTTTATGCATGTAGTAAAGGAAAACTGCATTACCTTATTTCAAAGACACCACTTGCTTGCTTTCATTTGTGCATTTTGTATGTTTATGTTCATCACTCTCTTATATATATCCAGCGGTTGTTAAGTTGTTACCTGGAGAGGTATTACATAAGCATGTTTTGCTTTTTTACCGATACAGATTTCTTTTGAAATAAAAATACGTTTAAGCCAACACAGCTAACGGTAAAACACATGATTGTAAACTATTCAAAAAGGGGCACTAATCTCTGGCTTCTTCTCGGGTGTCGGACTCAAACTCATTTATTCTTAGAATAACATGACATACAATTATCTACAATTTTTATTATGTACAATTTAATAAAAATAGGATACGTGGATACTAATACAATTTACCAATTGTATTGTACACATTGTTAAGGAATTTAGATAGGCCTTTAAGATTTCTTACACTGTTAGTGGTCATAATTTTCTTAAATGTTTGGAAACTTAAGATATTGCTTATTTAAGAGTTCATATCGCCGTTGGTGAAAAGCTTCACATCGGATGTAATGCAATTCATCTCCCACGGCGATAGAATCACAGAGTGGACACTGGTTGTCTTCCCTGGGAATGTTCAGCCATCGACCAGTTTCAACTGGTACTCCTTGGTTAGAAAGTTCTGACTTTTAGTATTGGGAGAAATATTGATTTTGAGAGCAGTAGATATTTCGCAAATGAAGGTTGATTCTTCAGGTAGCACGACCTTTGGATTTCCGCTTGGGCTTACTAGCTGCCGTGAGTCAATTTGCTCGTTAACGCAACCGAGCGTGACAAGAGACTGGGCTACCAGTCTGCAAGGACAGCTAAATAAACTTACGCATTTTTGAAAACTGATTGGTTACCCGTGATCTATGAAGATTTCAACAAAGGGCGCATGGTAATTAATTTCTTCAGCCTAAACAAACAGACAAATAACGGCGAAAGCTCATCGGATGTCGTCATTTGGAAATACCCCTGATTGTTACAGTTTGATAATAAAAAAGTATCCCTGAGTGAAAGCATTTGCGGATTTCGGATTGCGTGGATGATACAATTACTACTCCCTTGTTGTCATCCACATTTTCTGGTATAACCCTACACTTGTGTTTTTGTCGTAATTCACTTGCTGCTCAGTTAATGAATTTATAACATGTATACTTAGTTGTAGCACAACTCAGATTACCCGATAAAGGTTCAAATTTGGTCTTTCTTGTACGTGGGGTAATTATTTAATCTAAATCCAGGTTTGAAGTGAGGTGGAATGTGAGTTATGCACGTCGCAGCCCAGCAAGTGATGTATGATCAGTTGCTTTACTTTTTTTGTAAATCAACTGATCATTCCCAGACATCAAAGGATCAACAGGAAATACGTTGATTGATTAATTACTGTTATCTTGCACAGTGGATACGTCAAAAGTAAGTGTTTACATGTGAAGGTAGGGTTACTAAACCTAGGGAATACTCATATCATGGCGTGAAGTACAGATGTAAAAACAACATACAGTCAAGTCTCGTTAATCCGACACTCGTTAATCCGACGCTCGGCTTTATCCGACACAAATGATGGGAACCGATTGATTCAGCGCTATTTAGTCCCGTTAATCCGACATTCTCGCACTCCGACTCCGACACACCTAATTTGCAACGAATTACTGAAATCACTCATTAATCAGTCTCGTTAATCCGACACAGTGGTCAGCGTACTCCGTGGTCATCTGCCCGCGAGTACACAACCCCGTGTTTTGACACGCACCGGCTGCAGAGATTAACTTTAACAATTAACACTAGATGCCAGGATCATAAAGAATTTCAAGCTTTATTATAAGAAACAAATGAAATTACACCTCGACAATGTTGATGCTGAAGGACCATCGAATGTACTTTGTTCAAAGGGTAACCGATAATACACTGACTAGTTGTTCATTGTTATCTAACTCAATGTATGTTTTTAAGAACCGTGGACATTATAAAAATAGTTGTCACGTGGGCTTTCTCAGCTAACTTGGCACCTATGTGAAACAATTGAAACAAAATAAGTGATCAGTTAAGAAACAAACACGGGTTATACTATTCGATACATTTAAATAACGTTTAAAAACGATATATTTAAATATTTTAATATATTTCATATATATTCCAAATATTGTTTCCAAATATTGTTTCCAAATAATTATTATTAAAGTATTTGATTCTCACATAGACATTTTACATCGAATAAGTATTTTTGTACAGCTGCAGACGCAATGGATATTGTTCCTGTATGTTGATATTCCCGGATACATTATAACTTTGGTAGGTTGTTATAATGATATTTGCATTTTGTTTTCATTCATTCGCTGCAGCTTTGAACAGAATCATTCTTGTTCCTTTCCGTTTGGTTGGGAAGTTTTTCGATGCGCGATAGACGGTGTTTTCACAAGTATTTTCTTTTGTAAGCGTGTATATGTTACAGTCAATGTGTAAAATATGATTCACTCAGGCAATTTATTAAATATCTAAATATTTCAGTCATTTTACAAATTGACTGAATAATCCATTCATTTATTTAACCGACTGACTAAAAATGATAAAGACGACCAAGAGAGCTTAAACACATCACAATATATTAATTATGCTAAGAAAAGAAGCCAAACAATACAGAACTGTACTTGGTGATGGTATTAAACATATTTGGAATTCGTTATCATATTAATAAAGATGGACATATTTTTCAGTTAATTTGTGAAATAAACTGAATATTTAGGCGTTTTAATACATTTCCTTAGTGAAATCTGTTTACATTTTGAATGTAAACATATACACACGGTAAAATAAGCAATGTTCAGTGAAATATTTACTCTGTGTTGCAAGTCAAAATAGTGTACACGAAGATTGCACAATTACTAAGCAAGTGACTTATCAAAACTGCATCACCATTACCGATGCTCCCCACAAATATACCTACATTTCAAAAACTGTATTTCATTTTTGTTGATCAGTGTGACCATACGTCCTTCTACTTTCAATTAAAATGCGCTTACGAATGGCGAGCACAGGTCGCGAACAAGTCTAGATTTCTGCTATATCATCCGGGTACTCACTGGGAAAATACAGTAATGCACAGGTAACAACTACTCCCGCGGAATTGCTTTAGATCAGTGTCCTTTGTACGTTGAAATACTATATATTGTGAAAGACAAAATGATGTATCAAGGATCAAGTAGAAGATACATTGACCGTTGCGCTGGGAGTTTATTCAACAGGCCGTGAAAATAACACTGCTGTATCTTATTATTTATTTTAGATGATGCAGGCAAAGCTCACTTCTCCTGGCGGCCATTATCAAACGGCCAGCTAAAACACAACCCCGCGCTTACGTCTACAGGTCTCTTCCTGTAGTACGGTAATTAGTATTCTCTCCCTCAAGTGTATCCTCAATGATATAACCCACCCTCATTAATTACATGCTGCTCTTTTCCAGCCTCACGGCTATGGAGCTGTGATAAAGAGTCCAAGTCATCATAAAGTAATCAGGGTCCAATAAAAACAATGCGCCGCCAAACCTCATACATATTATCACTGAAAGTCGTACTACAGACAGTTAATGTCAAATCACAATAAAAGCATTTCAATTGCAATAACCTGTTCCAGGACCATGTATTCTCTTAATTAACACCATCGGATTTAGAAGCAATGGTCGTATAAAACAAAACAGATCTATTTAATCGCAACAGTATTCATGTTATTCCCACAAAATCACATAAAGAAAGGAGACATTAGGAAATACATGTGTATTATCATTTTTCGTCAGGATAACAAAATTTTCTCTCCTTGTTACCACCTCCAGGTTCAGCTTAAGACGGGTCCTCCTTTGGTCAAAAGTTTGTTCCCCCTCTAATGAGTGTGTCACGCGTTGCACACGAGTGGCGGACGGGGTGCACACCCGTGTGCAACGCGTTGCACACGGGTCTCACACGCGTGACCAACCCGATGCACACTGGTTGCGTAACGCGTTGCCCATGCGTGTAAGGGGAATGAACTTCTAGGCAGTAGTGTAGTTCTTGTTGTCAGCGGGATGGCCTAAGGATGTGTTTGACTTTCAAAAATGAACACCCCCTCCCCCGCCAACCAACCTTCCTGATACACATGTTCCTCTTTTTTACCCCCCAGGGATTCTTTCTCACATATAATAAGTTGACATTAAAGGTCCCGGTCACAACGTCTGAAATAGCCGTAAAAAGCATGCGTAATTGATAATTGAGTATTTATTAATGGAATTTGATGAAACTTAATATACATGATCCCTCAGGTAGGGTCTCGGTCGTATCAAATTTTGGGGTGACCTCCATATAAGGTCAAGGTACCTTTAGGTAAAGTTATGAAACATGCTTCAAATTTAATAAAAAGCCGGATTGATTCATGCGACATCTAAGCATTTTCAATCATTTATGATACACTCACAATAATTAACTAAAAACCTTCTGGTCAAATGTCACTTTGAAGGTCATGTATCCTTGAATTGACTTGGCAGTGTGAAATGGTGGCTACATATTTGTAACAAGTAATGTTCTCACATGTGATTTAATTACATTGAAGGTCAAGGTCATTCATTAGGTGTAAGGCTTCAGAAAGGCATGGATACAAGACAACAGATACACATACGTATGAATGCAATTTGACAAAATTTGGTACACGTGATCTCTAAGGCAGGGTGACCTTCTTCAGTTTTTGCATGTAATATAACTCATTTCTGCTTACCCAATACTGCATCCCCTTAGTCGCTGCACCCAGTTTACGTTAACCCATCACTTGCATAACCAGTACTGCTTCACTGAGTTGCATACACACTACAGCTTCAGTAAGGGGCATATCCAATCCTGCTTTAGACAGCAGCATACAAGCATAGTATGAACGAGCTGCATACACACTACAGCTTCAGGAAGGGGCATATCCCGTTCTGCTTTAGGCAGCCGCATACAAGCATAGTATGAACGAGCTGCATACCCTGCGCTGCTTCAACCTTAAAAACACTTTAAATCATCTTCAACAACACGCATTGTGCTTCATTTTGCTGTATACCAGTGAATGCTTTATCCAACTACACACTCAGCATAGGCACTTTTTCAGAAAATTGAAAACTCCAGTACGACTTCAGTCAGCTGCATACCCAGAACTGTCTCAATCACTTGCATATTCAGTCTCCTTTAACCAGATGCAAACTCAGTTCTGCTTCAATTGGTTACGTATAGAGAATATCACCTGAGTGACTTTTGATATCAAATATATCAACACGAGTTGATAAAATTGAGAAACAACTTTGAGGCTTGCCGAGGAGTATTTCCACTTTTATCAGCTTCAGTAGCAGAGCCATTAGTGATGTCATTTGATTGTGACATCATGGTAACCGATGACGTCACAATGGTCTGCAAAGCATTTTGATGCAATTTCACTGCAGCAATATGTACAATGTAGATATCACTAGATCTCACCCAAGTGATATCTCCTGTGGGAACCAGTTTTGGATGATAAATCCTGTTCACCTTTAGCCAGTTGTAAACTCAGTACTGCCTCGATCAGTTGCATGTCCAGTGCTTCTTCTATTTGAAAGGCGCCACAAATTGTTGTGCCAAGATGTGATGATACACTTGCCAGAATCCTTTCATTCGTCCCTACACCGGACAGTAAGTCTGTAAGAGAATTGGAGGAGATGGTGAGACACACCCTTGATATAGGCATCGACTTGTTGAACCCTCACACGCACACGGTGCATGTGCATTCTAGGTTTCAGAGTCAGTTACTAAATACCGAGTTCAGGCTCGCTCGTCGTTCACACCAGGCCCTATTCTTTGTTTCCTAAACTACCTTTGGAAAAGAAGTAGTATCTGTGTCCAAGTCCAAATAACTTGTTAGAACTGTTCGGATGGCATATGATGAACTGGAGTCACATTTTTCGGAGAGAATGTCGATATAAGAACTGTCGTGTGACTGTCCCTTGACAGAAATCGCTTATAAATGATATCTGCTCTCATTATTGTTCTGATCATTATTCTGTTTTTAATTTTCTTTCTCCAGATCAAACTTCAGAGATGGCAATGGCTGTTGCAGCAGGTAAGAGGTGGAAATCCTTTACCTGACCTGACCACTACTCTTTGGTCCCTACCTGCCAGTTGCTCAACTTATGATCTTGTATTCTTCTCGATCAGGATCCTTGGTTTGTTAGAACCCTCCAGTGCTCGTTGGTTCTCAGATTCAGTGAGAGCACAACAGCACTGATTCTCAAAAAGCCACCGAATCTTTGCGCTGAACAGATAAAAGAATGATAGTCTTTAACCAAAATATAATGTTTCTCTTTGGGATTCGAAACAACACTGGCAGAGTGACTACCAGTTGTCAGACCTTCATTTTTGTGGAAGCCTTGGTGGCTGAGTGGGTTTGATCATGTGACTTTGTGTGCTGGCGATTAGGTGCCTCACTCTAGCATTTTGGTTCGAATCCCGGATGGGACTCATTCCAAAAAAATAGGTAAAATCTGTACTTTACTAAGAAAGTGTTATCCCAAATATAACATTTGTTACATTTGACAACTTTTTAAATGGCATTGTATGTTCATACTGTTTCTCGCTGTGACATGTACCCTGATGTTTCAGGTTCCACTAGTGGACACTTTGTATCTGGAGAAACTCGACTGATTCTCATCGGAAAGACTGGAGCTGGTAAAAGTTCCACTGGGAATAACATAATTGGGCAACCAATATTCAAAGTTGACTTTTCAGCCTCTTCGATCACAAAATCATGTGAACACATCATGTTTGAGAGATTTGGCAGGGACATTTTACTGGTTGACTGCCCTGGTTTCTTTGATACTGGATCTAGTCAGAGAAGTCTCGAGCAAGAGCTAAAGAAAAGTATCGTCCTAACCTCTCCTGGTGTGCACGCGATTCTGTTTGTGGTTGGTATGGGGAGGTTTACCGAAGAAGAGGTAACGTCTGTGAAAAGATTTCTAACGTTTTTTGGCTCGGAGTCCAAACGTAACGTGATTGTCATATTCACGAGGAAGGAAGAGCTTGAGAAGAATGGGAAGAGTCTGAAAGTTTTCATCAACTCCCATTAGGAACTGAAGGCTTTCATTGAGGAGACCGGTCGGAATTACATTGCTGTAAACAACAACTCCACCGAGGACAACGAAGAGTTTGCCCTGGAGTTACTGGGCCTGGTAGACGGGCTTACGAAACGGAATGGAGGTCACTTCACAAATAAAATGTATCAGGAAGCTGAGCGACAAATGAGGGAATTTGAGGGAAGAACACTGGGTAAACTGTTATCTGCAAACAAAACATCGGAAGAGAAGGCTATTGCTGACGGTATCTTGGAATACAGTCAGACACTCTCTGACTACTCCGAGTCTCAAAAGAAGTTTCTGTTGGCCAAGAGGAGCCAGGCTCTCCATGATGAGTATCGCCAGATCCAAGAAAAGGAAGCGAGACGATTGGCCAGGGATAGCTTTGACAGTACCGACATCAACTGGAAAGTATTGGCCGGGGTAGTTGCTGCTGCTGCTGCTGGGTTAGCTGTGAGTTATGTCGCAGGCACTACACCAATAGTGGCTGCAGTAGCCGCATTTTTCCGTTTTAAATAACACTGTTAAACAATATGTCTAAAGCACCAACATTCCAGCTGTATAACGATAACCTTTAGGTATTCACTTCTTATGTATCTACTCTCTTGAACAATGCTTCCTGTGCAACATCATCACCGGATCAATGCTCCCAATGTGGCCAGTGAATCTATCATCTGGACTGAACAACGCTTCACGTGTATCTACCATCTTGAACAATGGTGCCAATGTGCCTATCGTCTTGGGCAGCGCTCCCGTAGTATCTATTGTCTTGGTGGGAACAACGCTGCCACTATATCCATCGCCGTGATTGGAGCAACTTTGAATTATTATTTGTCGTATCTAAAATGAAACTGTTGTTACAATATTGCTGTAAATTAATCAACTAGAGGCAACCAGAACGATTTGTTGTCTCGTACCCCAACAAAACCCTCGGATCATTTTCCAACAAGACAATGCACAACCACACACAGCGCACATCAACATGAACCGTCTCAGTGCCAACAATGTGAACGATTTACCATGGCCAGCCCCTTCTCCAATTGAACATGTGTCGGATCATTTGAGACATTAGAATTAGAGAAGACAGGTTCCAGTCACAATTAGACATAGTTTATTGCATGCATAGGAAGGCCGTTGCATTCCACCACTAGTCAATCCACATCTGATGTACTCAGAGGGAATGCCGTTATTGATGCCCCTGGTGGCTGCACACAAGATTGAGAAAAGTGAAAATCATGCAACAATGACTGACCTTAAACGGTTTTTAAATTCATTGTTGAAGATCGACAACTGGACAACTTACCCCATTCTCATGATTGTGCCCCATATACACTTTGTTTTATCTAATAACCATAGAATATTTCTTATGTTCACGCAAGACTATTATTTCTCATTTGTCTCTTATTTCAGTGGTTGTCATAACTTGCTTTGGATAGATTCTTTTGCCCACGAGTGCTGTTAAGAACATGTCTATCGAAAATGAAATGAAATGAAATAAAAACAGAATTGAACTTACTAAACTAAGCTAAACTAACCTAAATATTAAGTAAATATTAACATAAAATGCCCTCATTTACAGGCAAGCTACATGCCCTTATGGTTGAATGATATTACTTCCGGTTGGGAAAAATACACATCACATGTAGTGCAGCTGTAAAACATTTACTCCAAACACTTAACCTTGACCCTTCATTTTAACCAGTCACATGCTTAATTTATTTTTAGTTTAAATCATTGCTGTAAGTTCTTACAAACATGACATACAAACACAAGGGTTGGTTCAGTACACGAAGAAAATGTTATTTATGTCGTTTGAGGGAAGAAAAGGATGGATATTACCTTTTACTGGCATAAGGAGTGAGTGAGTGAGTTGGATTTACGCCCCTTTCAACAGTCTTCCAGTTACTTCACGGCGTGTCAGCTTAATTTGGAAGGCCCAAAGTGATGCAGGTCTCAGACGTTTACCACTTCGGTGAAACCCACGAGCCCGAGTATGGTGCTGACAAACCAAGAAACATAATCAGGGCGAACCGGGATTCGAACCCACTATCATAGTTTTCTGGCGTGACCAAGGGATGCAACTCTGCATAACGAATCCCAGCTCTTTGACGACTGCCTCCCCTTCCTCCCCCTGCATTCATGCGCCTCTTGTAACTTGTAATTGAGCAATTCGGCGAACATTTTCATGGCTTATTATCGCTATTTACATGGATTACAAGTTCGGTTATTATCATGTAAACACGAAACATCCCGGATGTATTTCGTGTCGAAAAACAGAATGCTGCACTGCACGGCTTTCCAATTTGTTCTTGTTCCAATGGTGAGGCTATGAGAACAGAAATATGTTTGCTTGTTTGTTGTTTAACTGAGTCTGTGTTCATTAGTCATCCACTGGCTTCCAATTATCTCAATCAGCTCTCTGTGTCCACCAATCAATTTACTGTATAAACTTTGATGTTAATAAGTATATATACCTATGTTGTTTAGCACTATTCATCACTTGCTTGATAAAGGTGTTAGGATCTACACCGAAACGTCGCACTAATTGTAATAAAGAAGTTGTTCATCCATAGAACTCGTCTTATTTTATTATTAGGTGTTGAAAATCATTGCATGTTTATTTATAAATCAAATCTGTCATTCTATATTACACATTGCACAAGACTGACAAACCTCTATTGCTAGCGACGGCAAAACCATACCTTGTGAAAGACTGGATGTATTTATGACAACTCCTAAAATCGTATGAATGAAAATAAGATCCCTTTAGTTTAGCTCCTACATAAAACATTGAAAATCAAGTAAGTTGATCTGTGGGATGGAAACCTTTCGGGCTATTAACCATAGTTTAACATCTTCTTGTATGACACAGCCATATATTGAACCACAGACCTTCCGCTCTCCTCAGGCAAGGGACCAATGGTACAAGAACCACACGCCATGAGCGCTCCTAAGTTCCCTGGCTTGTCTTCATAAACCTGTGAAGATCCGGGATAGAATAGGTCTTCAGCATTCCATGCTTGACGTAAGAGGCGACTATGCTTGTCGTAAGAGGCCACCAATTGGATCGGGTGATCAGGCTTGCTGACTTGGTTGATGCCATCGATCCCATCGATGCTCATGATGTCTATCACTGGATTGTCTCGTCGAGACTCGACTTATTTACAGACAGTCGTCATATAGCTGGAATATTGCTGAGAGCGGCGTTAAACTACAAACATACAAACCATAAACCTGTCACCACGAGGCCCTTTGGTTGTATCATCCACTTGTTGATACTTCTGACACTTTGTTTTTAGAAAGAATGACTACATCTGGGTCTGGATGAGAATGGGGGAGGGCACAGATTTGGGGTAGGGGTAATATAAGTTGTAGCAGGATCACTCGGGGTACATGGGTTTTATGCGTTAGATTTTATACCAAGGGCCGGAGGAAAAATTAAGGTTTTGTCTCAATTTGACCACTGCCGCCGCCACTTGCACACCTCATGGATTTCATAACATGCATGTCTCTTTGTTTGCCCTGACTGCCCCTGTGGTCCAGTGGATAGAACATCTGTCTGGACAGACTAGGTAACAATCCTATAAACCTGACATCCCAATCCTTCCCTTCTCCCTCTTTTGTTTACATGTTACCTGTCACTCTGTCAAACTCTGGGGCAATAATTCTGTAAATGTATATGAAACTGCTTCATTTGGACTATTGCCAAACAATTTTGTTGGGATTTTTATGCAAAAAGGAGTGTGAGACAGACTACATGTAGCTGTACAGGTTATCTGTTTGTTATCTATTAGTCACACAGTCCCAGAATTATATTATGTTCCTCCACCATACCCAAACCTGTAATGCTGGACCTCCTTATGTCTAGATTTCTCTCAGATTCTGAATCTAAATGTTGCTGGAGATCTTTTCAATTTATCAAGTGATATTTGTTTGAAAATTCTAAAGTGTTCCGAAAATAAATGGCGGTCTATCTCTCTCGTGCACCTAAGAAATACAAAGGTTGCTGAAAATGAAATCATGACACCACACATTGTTTTCATACAAATATTTATTCCAAAGTTATTATGAACTAATCACACACCATTATATACACATGCTACTATGTCTAGCATATCAATTTGTGTCATGTAATCTAAATGAGATATTCATTTTTTTCTTGAAAACATTCACCGCGAGCACTTGGACACAGAGATGAAGCAAAGATATCAGCCTCAGACTGCTTGCTACTCAAGTCAGTTCCTCATAACGACTAAACAGCAAAATAAAACCAGTTGCAATCTGGACTGAAACAATGTCATTACAATATACATATGATACAAACTTTTCGCTCAAGTTTTTCTGTGAGAGAGTTGGGTGATAGGGTGACACGCCGCTGCAGCAACATTCCATCAGTATGGCAGGGGACACCTGGGTGGGTCCTCGCTGTGACGAAACGATGTGTTAACCCCAAGGTACCCACTGTTGATGGTCACTGAGAACACTTGCACAAATCATGCCTAATATTAAAGCAACATACACTTATTTCCTGTCTGTGATGGAAACTACATATAGCTCGGTATCGGACCTTGAACTGCGACGGATTTCAGGCAACTTCCGGTCATTTATTGACATCTTTAGAGACTTCCAAATCCCAACGGATGGTTTACAAACAGTAACCCGTCGTTGCCTTTGGCGGTGCGCATTGTTGTCAATACAGTTTCCAGTCGATACCCGTCTTTCAGTGGAAGGTCTTGGACTGACCTTAGAGGTTATGTGATTCTTTTCTTTTTCAAGTTTTGTACACGATCGTTTTCGTCTGTCTTTGGATCTTCCTTCAACTTGTTTTTCTTCAAAAGGGTTTTGTTCACACTCAGCCGTACCACAGTAGAGGTCCATCACTGTAAAACCCTGGTATACGTCCATGTTTAGACTGAGGCTGCTGCTGGAGAGACGGTGCTGGTACTTCAGAGTGTGTGGCCACTGAGCCTTCCCACTGTGTACGCGTGTTTTAACCCTTTCTTCACATGCGTCATTGTAGAACCAAACTGTTCAACTCAAAGGCGTGAATGCGTCATCAACACGCTTGTGCAAACATGTTTCAAACCGTCGATTTGCCTAGGTGATGTATCATAGCAACACGGCATGTGTTATAACAAAGAGTTGACCAATTTGTTTGACTTTCTACCTTTCTATGTCTTTATTGAGGTACTATCTTAACATTTAAGAAAGTAAATCTTCATTTCAGTGTATCGCAATTACATGCCCCACTCTCTTACGACCATATTAATGAGAGGAGAATACAAAATAATCTCCAAAATACAAACAAACAAACAAGTATAGACCAATATTCAAAGGTTTAGCGAAATGATTGTATAAAGCATAACATGGTTTAATCGAATATGTTGATTCTCCAACGATTTCTCCATTAGAGAAATTTGTTATAATAAAAACTATATCAAACCAATACTCGTCAGCATCCTATGAAGCACTGAAGGTTACCATCTGCAGTTTGTGTTTTTATTTAAGCGCTGATATATTGACAATTTGTAACGATCTCAGTATGTTGTGAAATTACGGTAAGACCAAATGAAAATAAACTACCAACATGCTCCCAAACATTTAATTAAATTATCAGTAATTAAGTAATCACCTTTATTTTTTTTTTAAATATATGTTTCCATCCAACTAGTAGCCAACTAGGGTCGGAACGTCAAAAGATAATATCACAGTCTGAGTATGACTATTTTATTAGAATATCGATTATAATATCAGATACGCAGATGAAAGTATTATTTTCATAGATGAAAGTATTATCTACAAAGATGGAAGTATTATCTTCAAAGATGAATGTATTATCTACGTAGATGTAAATATTATCTTCATAGATGAAAGTATTATCTCCGTAGATAAAAGTATTATCTTCATAGATGATGGTATTATCTATATAGATAATAGTATTATCTACGTAGATGTAAATATTATCTTCATAGATGAAAGTATTATCTATATAGATGAAACTATAAGTGAGTGAGTGAATGAGGTTTTAGCAATATTCAAGCAATATCACGGCGGGGACACCACAAATGGGCTTCACACATTATACCCACGTCGGGAATCATCCCGGGGCTTTGGTGTGACAAGCTAACGCTTGAACCACTAGGCTACCCCATCGCCCCGATGAAAGTATTACCTTTATAGATGAAAGTATTATCTTCATCAATGTAAGTATTATCTTCATAGATGTATCATCTACGTAGATGTCTGTTTTATCAACATAGATGAAAGTATCATCTACGTAGATGCTAGTTTTATTTACATATATGATAGCTTTGTAGCCACACTGAAACACAAACACGGGTCTAGAATGTCTGATCTGACAATGTCAGACCCCATAGCAGGCACCGTGGGGACTTACCATACGCCTGTTAACTTCAACGAATTTTAGAACGATAATCTATTAATTACAAAACATAGGTTTCAAAATATTTCCAGCAATGGAATTTCTTCTT